GTTCCCTATATTTCCTGAATTTGCATGTTGTCTTGTCTTGCTAGGTTGGGGAAATGCTCCTGGATAACATCCTGAAGTGTGTTTTCCAGCTTGTTTCTATTATCCCTGTCTCCTTCATGTACTGCAATCAATTGTAAATTTGGTCTTTTTATGTAGTCCCATATTTCTTGGAGGCTTTGTTCATTCTGTTTCATTATTTTTTCTCTAATCTTGTCTGCATGCCTTATTTCAGCAAGGTGATCTTTAAACTCTGATATCCTTTCTTTCACTTGGTCGATTTGGCTACTCATACTTGTATATGCTTCATGAAGTTCTTGTGCTGTGTTTTTCAGCTCCATCAGGTCATTTATGTTCCTCTCTAAACTGGTTATTCTAGTTAGCAGCTCCTCTAATCTTTTATCAAGGTTCTTAGCTTCTTTGCATTGGGTTACAACATTTTCCTTTAGCTAAGCAGAGTTTTTTTTTTTCCCCATTACCTGAAGCCTACTTCTGTCAATTTGTCCATCTCATCCTCTGTCCAGCTCTGCACGCTTGCTGGAGAGACATTGCGATTGTTTGGAGGAGAAGAGACACTCTGGCCTTGTGGGTTTTCAGCATATTTTCATTGATTCTTTCTCATCTTCATGAGTTTGTCTAGGTTTGATCATTGAGGCTGCTCACCCTTGGATGGGGTTTTTGTGGGACTTTTTTGTTGTTGTTGATGCTGTTGTTATTGCTTTCTATTTGTTTGTTTTTCTTTCAATGATCAGGTCCCTCTTCTGTAGGGCTGCTGCAGTTTGATTGGGGTTCAATTCAGGCTCTATTCTTCTGGTTTGCTCTCGTGCCTGGAGATGTCACTCAAAGAGATTGGAGAATAACAAAGATGGGTGTCTTCTTCTTCTTCTGGGATCTCTGACCTCCAGGGGGACAAACCTGATGCCAGTAGGATCACTTCTGTATAGGGTGTCTGAAAACCCTTGTTGAAGGGTCTCACCTATTTGGGTGGCATGGGGAACAGGACCCATTTAACAAAGCACTTTGTGCCTTGATGGAGGTGGTGTTCAGGGTGCTGAACTGAAAGAAAAAAACAGCAGCAACCACTGCAAAAGCCACACCAAAATATAAAGATTAATGATATTATGAAGAAACTGCATCAACTGGTGCGCAAAATAACCAGACAGCATCATGATGACAGGATCAAATTTATACATAACAATATTAACCTTAAATGTGAATGGGCTATATGCCCCAATTAAAAGACATAGGCTGGCAAATTGGATAAAGAGTTAAGACCTATTGATGTGCTGTATTCAGGAGACCCATCTCACATGTGAAGACACACATAGGCTCAAAATAAAGGGATGGAGGAAAATTTACCAAGCAAATAGAAAAAAAAAAAGAAAAAAAAGGCAGGGGTTGCAATCCTAATCTTTGATAAAACAGACTTTAAACCAACAAACAGCAAAAAAGACAAAGAAGGGCATTACATAATGGTAAAGGAATCAATGCAACAAGAAGAGCTAACTATTCTAAATATATATGTACCCAATACAGGAGCACCCAGATTCATAAAACAAGTTCTTAGAGACCTATAAAGAGATTTAGACTCCCACACAATAATAGTGGGAGACTTTAACATCCTACTGTCAATATTAGACAGATCAACAAAACAGAAAATTAACAAGGATATTCAGGACTTGAACTCAGCTCTGGATCAAGTGAACCTAATAGATGTCTACAGAACTCTGCACCACAAATCAACAGAATATACATTCTTCTCAGTGCCACATGTCACTTATTCTAAAATTGACCACATAATTGGAAGTAAAACACTGCTCAGCAAAAGCAAAAGAACTGAAATCATAACAGTCTCACAGACCACAGTGCAATCAAATTAGAACTCAAGATTAAGAAACTCACTTAAAACCACACAATTACA